CGGCGGAGAGAACAGTGTACGACCCGAATGTCGCTATTCATGTGCAAAACTATTTGTTTTGTGGGAAATTTATAACTAGCAAATGTTATGTATGTTGTGATGTTCTTAAAAACTAAGACGAATATATTCATGCTTGTTCACATAGAATACACATGTCTGGTTACAAATTCAAGTCGCAAATAAGCGAAAGAAGGAATTAAAAGAATATTGTCAAATGTCAATGTAATCTACTTTTCTGAAACAATATATACAATAATTTAATTGGACAATAATTATTCAACAAAAACGATATTAATTTCACCCATCCGTGTTATTTTAGCTGCATATCAATCGAAGTTATTTTATCACCATGTTATTGTTAGCGGGTGCAATTATATTAACACTGTTATACATTTACATTATGTCAGAAAATATTGGCCGAAATGGAATTGCAAGCCAGATCAGTACAGGTTACCGTGGACTAGCAAGTTATGCTATTGATGGGAATGACAACTCTATATATTATCGGGGTAGTTGCACCCATACGAGTGCGCATCTAAATCCTTGGTGGAAGGTAGATTTAGGAGAAACATATGACATATTCAAAGTGGTTATAACAAATAGACAGGATTGTTGCCGTAAGTATTCAACAAATAATATAAGTATCTAAATCACGAATCACTGAGATTTAAAGCGGGAGGGTCGTCAACTGCGCACGCGCAGGAATCGAGTCCAAAGCAACGATAACAACACACGCTAAAAACGTAAATGCTCATGGGTAGACGCATTTTTGTAAACAATAACACGCTATGGCCATCTTGCGCAGGTGACGACGCCCCCGCTTAAAAATATAAAGATGTGTTGTAGTAGACAATGCCTAGAGAGAAATAGAGAGAGTGCAACCGATGAAGTAACCATAGAACATCAAGGCACTTGAGCTCCGGAAAATCGAAATATTACTTCACGCGAGATTTGAGCATATTGACATATTTTCATTCCGTTGCCAGGAATCAATTTTATTATCAATGTACAACATTCTGCAGATGTTTATTTCTGCTTCATGTAATTTGTGAAACAACAAACAAAATGTCGTCATATCTTCCATACTCTTTTATACAAATAAATTTCGCTTCACGAATGACCTTCAGCCGCTTTTGCTCTAGCTATTAAACAGATCGAAAACAAACATAGATTGGTCTTTTCTTTGTGATGTTGCAGCATATATTAATGTTGACATTTGCGGCAAGTAGCAAAATCAGATATCCGATTAAATCATACAGTGTTCATGATATACCTTTGATGATATACACAACCAATTCTATTTACACTCCACTAGGTGGAATATACTTTCATATATTATTCATTCAGGGAAAATTTCATATTTATATATTTCAGCTCACAGAATAGATGGAGCAGTAGTTTTGATTGGTGAATTCCCTGACATAAGTCAAAATTCCCAATGCGATGACCAAGTAGACCTGAATGCCAACACGTATCAAAGAAGAATACCGTTCGATTGTCGACTGAGAGGGCGATATGCTGGGGTACAACTGAAGCATCATACCAATTTTTTAACTCTATGTGAAGTTGAAGTTTATGGTTCCTAATTTTGGTGTGTGGCTTGGAAGTTGTTTTTAAAGCACGATTCTACAAGCGACTCATATATTTCATAAGACCAAACATTCGTTTAATAATTTTGTGTAGAAGCATGGTAATAAGATGAGTAGTTTTACAAATTTCCTCGGGGCGGACATCCGGGCATTTTCACCGCCTGGCAACCCTCGCGGTGAAAACAAAGGCCAAAAACTCGCAGAAAACGGTACTTTGGGATGGTTGTTGAGATTCCCCTGAACAGTGTAACAAGACTAGCCCTACGTGTGTAACATATATAAATTTGGTTATTCAGGATTACTTCAAAGTTGAGTTTGTGTTGTTTTCTCGAATTTTCACCAGCTCGACCGGCGTTCCACAGCAGCGCGCACAGAGCCCATAGAAATGCATGTACAGTGGTGCGCGTCTTAGCAACGTGGAACGTCTTGTGACGTAGCTCCGCCCCCGAGGATAGCAATAACAATGAATTGAGAACGTGTTTGAAACAAATAGAAAATCCTCAAATGATCTACTCTGCTGACACTATATAATGAAAATAACCTACTCGCTATAATCCAATTCTAGATAGTGACATTATAATAAACCTTAAAATTGTTTTCTTTTTTTCTGATAACAGGATTGGTTCTTCATCACCACCCACCTTTCTATACTAGCTAAAATAATTAAAACCAGAATTAAGAATATTGGGCAAAAAAAAATCTTTGAAAATATGACATATTATGTATGAAATGCAAAATGTACCATTTAAATTTACTGGAGAATAGCTTGAGTATTGTTTCTAACTATGTTTACGTATTGTGACACATTACTTGGTCGTAGACGGGAAATTGTAGTTACCCAATCAGGTGCTAGTTAACTGACGTGAAAAGTTGCTAGTTATGTATAGATTATAATGTGCAATATTCATTGTAGATTCAATAAATAAAATATCATATAACATACAAATCACATTAATCATTGTGAAATGTTATGTTTTATGTAGTTAAATTACAATTTACAGATTCGTAGATAAATAAAAAAATAAGTGTAAATACTTGTAAAGGTAACAGACTTTATGATGAAAATCTTAGATTGTGTTTTTCTGAAAATTAAAGAATATGAATTCAAAATTATAAACTATATAATTAAAGCAGGGCGTAATCATCTGCGTATGTGACAGACGGCCATAACATGTTGTTCACAACAATGAGCCCTTGTGGTTTTAGCGTGCTTTATTATCGTCGCTTGGAACTCATTTCCCGCGCTTGCGTAGGTGAAGTCAGCCCTGCTTTAACACTTAAAGCATAGAACGTGTGGTTCTACAGTTAAAAAATCAAATCAGTGTAAATAAATGTTTACATTTGTTTTTGTATTCAAAGCGGGAGGG